TGTTTTTTGAGACAGGGTTTCACTATGTAGTTGAGACTGACCTGGAACTCACTATGTAGCCCAGGCTGGTCTCAAACTCACAGCGATCCTCCTGCCTCAGCTTCGAGTGCTGGGATTACAGGTGTGTGCCACCACACCCGGCAACCATGTAATATTTAAGCCTGTGTGTCTGACATTTTACTTAATATTGTCTCAAGGTCCATCCATTTTCCTACAGATGACTCAGATTTATCCTTCTTTATGACAGAGTAGTACTCCTTTATATATAAATACATTTTTTTTTTTACCCATTCATCTGTTGATGGATATATAGGCCACTTCCAAGATTTAACAATTATGAATTGCACTGCTATAAATGTAGTATGCATGTATCACTGTAACGATGTGTTTAACTCAGGACCTATCTTTTACTTGAAACTCTTTCTACTTGGGAGTTTTTTCTTCTATCTTTTGAATTATCCCTGATTTTTAACTTCCCTTTGGACATTTTTCAAGCAGTAGCCTCTAATACTTTATATTTAATCTTGTCTTTGAATTCACCTAGAAAGCTCATTTATCCTTAAAGCTATACATCAGTTATGACTTCAAAATCTGTACCTACATTCCTATCATCTCTATTCCACTTTTGTCTGCGACTTTCAGTAAAACATTTCCAATGGTTAACTTTGACTTACCATTAATTCAGCATGTCCTTTCAATAGTTCCTTTAGGCTAGTGGTGGTGAACCTACAGCACACATGCCACAGTGGGCTGTTTAAAAGCACTAAAAGGTTCACCATCACTGCTTTAGGCCCTCAAAACACCAACCAGTTCTCTTTGATTTGTTTACCTCTTCTGCCTGTGAAATGCTTTGTTTTTCCTGTCCTGGAGACTGAACCCAGGGGTCTCACACATGTTAAACAAGCAGTTTACCACTGAGCTACAACTCCAGCTCCAAGTCATCACATTCTATTGACTACCTGGGATGGTCTTTCAGACCACTCTAGAAACTTACTAGAAATGCAGATTCGCAGACATCATCCCAGACTTAATCAGAAACTCTGAAGGATGAGGGCTGATCCCCAGTCTTTTTTTTTTTGAGACAGGGTGTCCCTATGTAATTCAAGGCTGGCCTTGAACTTGGTGATCTTCCAGCCTCAACTTCCCAAGTGCTGGGATTACAGGTATGTACCACCACACCTGGCTTCCCAAAAAATCTTCAGGAAAAATGAGGCTAATCTCATAGAAGGTCAACAACAACCTAAAACACTAATAATCACATATGGCTAGTAGCTAATGCATTAGACCACGCAGATCTAGAAGAGCTGCTAAAAAAATTATAAGGCACCCAATCTCACAGTGTTTAATGTCTCATCACTTGTATCTTATGTTTAGACCAATTTTTTTCCTCCAGACAGAAAAATAATCAAACTCTTCCAAAGTATTGGAAACAAATTTCAAATATAACTATCCAAAAAAAAGGCCTAACTCTAGAAAGCCTGTCACTTAAGACTTTTCAGAGCCAGGTGTGGTGGTGCACTCCTATAATCCCAGCACTCGGGAGGCTGAGGCAGGAGGATCACTGTGAGTTTGAGACCAGCCTAGGCTTCATAGTGAGTTCCAGGTCAGTCTCAACTACAGTGAGACCCTGTCTCAAAAAAAACAAAAAAAACAAAAAAAAAAGAGAAAGACTTCAGAAAAAGGAGGACAAAGATATAAAAAGCAAACTGACTGACTTAAACTTTGATGTCCAACTCAGAACCTATGAGTTTTAAGCCTGATTTCCATACTGTATCTCTAGCACCTCCCCCCACTAGACAGGTAAGGGCATGTTTGAGGAGTCCTGAAGAACTCAGTACCTGTGGGACTGGTGGGCATGGTAGTGCTGATGCATGGCTGTAATCCCAACTACTCAGGAGGATGAACCACAAGGACTACAAATTCAATGCTTGCTTGGGCAACACAGTGAGGCTCCCATCTCAAAAAAAAAGTAAACAGCACAGCACACCATGGCACCATGTATACCAAGGGAAGATTGTGCTACTTATGTATTATTTTTGTTTGTTTGTTTGCTTTTGTTTTTTTGAGACAGGATCTCGCTATGTACTTCAGGCTGGCTTTGAACTTGATCCTTCTGCCTCAGCCTCCTGAGTGCTGGGATTATAGGCATGTGCCACATTTGTCAGTTACACTATTTAAAAAATATATTTGTGGGCTGAAGATGCAGCTCAGTAGTAGACACTTGACTAGTAGCAAAGGCCCTGGGTTTGATCCCCAACACACACACACACACACACACACACACACACATGACTTTTAGTAACTTAACTTTTGAAATTACTTTACTGTTACCTTTTCCACCCGCCTCCAAACACTTATACAACAAACACACCCAGAGTCCCAACTCCATGGCACTTTGGGCTTTGAAATTCAGTTTGTAGACTATAATTCTCATCCAGCCTCTGATACTCAATTCCATGATTAAAGTTTAGAGGACAAGAGGTTATGAGGAGACCATACATCCAAACATACACGAGGAGAAAAAACAAAAAACCCAAAGCCACAAGCTCTAGACCTGGTTCTGGTTGAGGTTGAGCTCAATGACCTGCAACTCCCCCACTAGGTCAGGTATACTCCGAATCTGGTTCTTAGAGAGATCCACCACATCCAGGTGCCGGAGGCCACAAAGTTGGGGTGGCAGTGCTCCCAGTTGGTTCCCAGACAGGCTCAGGGTCTTGAGAGCAGAGAGCTGTCCAAAGGTAGGTGGTAGTTCTCTTAGATGATTGTTGTTTAGGCTAAGCGTCTCAAGTTTTTTCAGATTGCATAACTCATCGGGTAGAACAGCTGGCAAAAAAAAAAAAAAAAAAAATGTTTAGACCTGATAAAGCTGAAAACACCTTTGATGAAATTTATAAAGACTACATGTCAGCCTGTTTCACCTCTTGCTAAATGCAGACTTTCCACAATTTTAGGTATTGCATTTTACCAACAGAATCTTCAGTAGGTGATGGTGCCATCAAAACGCAGCAGCATTTATGTGTACAATGGGCCCCTTTGTTAGGGGCCTAGGCACAATCTGAAAGCAGTTTTGAGAGGTGTGGAAAAGCCTCCCCTTCCTGTTTCATCCCCCCTTCTGAATTAGGTAACTTTGTTTACATCACATTCCAAATATCTTCCCTTTCAAGTTCAAATTAGCCCAGTAACAATCACACCACCCACGGAGGCTTGAAAATATAATAAGAGATAAAAGTTCCCAGGAATCTGGCATTCTGCATCTTGAGTCCTCTGAATAGTTTCATAACCAAAGGAGGGAAAAATCTCTCCGAACAGTCCTCTGAATAGTTTCATAACAAAGAATCAGCTTGCAAGAGAAAAACCACCCCTCGTCACCGCTGATTATTAGGCGCAGAAGCCATACTCAGTTTGTTGCTGTTCAGGGACAGGCTCTTCAGTAGAGTGAACTTCCCTACCACAGGCGGGAGATTCTCGATCTTGTTGTTGGACAAGTCGATGGTCCTAAGGTTGCTCGTCAGCTTCTGCAACTCTGCGGGGAACTGGAAAGGAGTTGACAGCGGACAGAACTCTTCCCTGATTAACTTCGCCGCCCCGTCCCTCTCCCAGGTCTAGTTCCTCCCGGTCTCACCTCGGTCAGCCCACGGTCCTTAAGCTGAAAGACACCCGTTTTCTGCGCCGTTTCCACATGAGCGCGGAGGGCACTGTTTCCCATCTTCGTGCCGCGCTCAGGTCCCTGTGGAAGGAGCGCAGCTGTCACCGCCCAGTCTAGCCGCACGGCCACCCAGGAGGCCTCCCTTTAGGGTGTCCACCCCATGTGTCACCTTCTGCCGATGCCTGGATCCTGGGCGCCCGCCAAGAGGGGCAAGGAAGAGAAAAACACACAGCTGGACCAGCAAGTCCGGCAGCTTTTGAGGCTTCGAAGAGGATCGCCTCTCGGAGCGTCTGGAGGACCACAGTTCCAGGACTCGCTGCCGACCGCTCGGAAGAGAAGCGATTCCTCACCAGCAGATCCCTGGCCGCGCCGCTCTGGGATGCGCTCCCAGGGTTTCCGCCCGCGCGGGTCCGCGCAGTGACGTCATCTATCAGCGCCGCGCTGCCGGCGCTCACTCCCTCCCGGAGC